CGAGAGAAACTCTGTTAAGAAGGAGTTGTATAGAAGGAACTACACTCAAGGGGCTGCTTCTATATCCAGACCCCAAAATGATTAGATCTTATACTTTGAGTGGATGCTGTAAAGGATGAGACTTTTGGATACCTGGGGATGGGGGTGTGTATTTTACACGTGGAGGAACATGCATTATTGGTGTACAGAGTGAAGACTGTGGTAGCCAGACTTCTAGACAGCACCCAGTGATCTTTGCCTCCTGGCATTCACACCAGTGGGTGGGTCCCTGCCACACTGAATCAGAGCTGACCTATGTGACCAATAGAATACTATGGAAGTCACAGAGTGTGGTTTCCAAGCTAGCTTGTTAAAAGCACTGCCACTTCTGCCTTGGTCCTGTGGATTACTTGCTTTGGGGGGGATGACAAAAGCTCTCCTTGGCCAGGCTCTCCTCTAGTCAGGCTCCTCTGAGCCTTATTCTCAAGTAGGCCTCATCCTCTGCCTATAGACACTACGGCCTCGCAGCAGAAATGATCTCAGCCACCGTCACCACCACAAGCACTAAGAGACTTGAACAAACACTAGCATTGTTTCTAACAGCTCAAGTCCATGTCCCTAGGATGACAACTCCAGTTCCCTTAAGTTCCTATCTGAGAAAGCCCAAGGTTGCCAAAAGAATTTTCTGTTTGTTCCAGCCAATGTCTGAAGATAGAGCCCCTGACTCCCAGTCACTATGGGAGGGTAGGAATCCAACATTGATAGCCATTAGTTAGGGGGAAAAAAAACAACAACAAAAACAAAAACACAGGGGTTTAGAAGGACTGGTAAGAGGCTGAGCACTACCAGGCAATACTTGGCAAAATGGTGACCAGAAGATCTGCCAAATCCATGAATGACTAGGCCATGTTAGGGTGAGAGATAAGAGACCACAGTGAAGGTGCTAAATGAGAGACATCATGAGACACACAGATCCGAGAGAGAGGGAGTCAGGCATGCAGAGTCAGGGCCACACTGGTGGGGCACTCAGCCTCCAGTGAGTGTCACTATCTTATGAGCTACCCTCATAACCATGACCCTCATCTAGAATAGGATTGCAGTGCGTGTGCTGGTTGCAAGAACAGTCTGAAAGTTGTCTGAGCTGTCAAATGGCAGAGAAAGAAGAGCTGTCAAAGGAAACATGAAGACTTGCCTTCCTCGCAACTAGATACAATGTGTAGCTATGTACAGCTCAGAATAAGGGTCACTGTGGAAGCTACTGGCCATTTCAGGTCTTTGAGAGCTGATGTAGGGTAAAGTACAAGCCACACCTCCATAGGGAGAGAGAGAAAAGAAAGAACGCTACATCAAAAGGGATTTCTCTGGGGCTCAAGGAGACTTCCTGCCACCTGGAGCACCTCTGACCTTCCCTCTACCTTATCCTTCCACAAAGATCTGGGCCAAGACCTATGAAGTGCTCATATTATACAATGAATAATAATCAAGAATCAGCAGAGGATCTCCCCAGAAGTGTTGCAATAAGAAAAAAATACATGACCAACAAAAGGCAGATGAAGAGCACACAGCAGAATAATGTTGCTGTGGAGCAGAGGAAAATCATGCCATGCCGTTCTCCGTGGTTCCAAGAAATGAATGAAACACACAGCTTCCATGAACCAGGAACCCATGGCAGAAACACAGGCTCATGCAAGAAATTAGAAGACAACAAGAGATGATTACAAATGAGTTGGCAGTGCTTAGGAAAGAGGAGGAAAAATATTAAAACATCACAGAACTGAAGTTCATATTGACAACAGAATGAAGGAGAAAAGACACAGATGAAAGCAAAGTAGCAAAAGGAAGACATATAAACACTATTTTTTGGTTTTGGAGAGGTTTTAAGGGTCACAGCAAAATTAAGGAGAAAGAATAGAGAGTTCCCATATTCCCCCTTCCCACTCCCTTCCCACACATGCACAGGCTCCTCCACTATCAACATCCCACACCAGAGTGGTACATTTGCTACAATTGATGAACCAACATTGACACCTAAAGTCTATAGTTAACTCTATGGCTCCTTCTCAGTGTTGTACATTCTATGGGCTTGGACAAATATATAATGACATGTATCCACCCTTATAGGGTTGTGTAGAATGGTGCCATTGTCCTAAAAATCCTCTGTGCCTAGCCAATGCATCCCTATCTCCCTGCTAACCCCTGGCAACCACTGATCTTTGTATTCCCTCCATGGTTTTGTCTTTTCCAGAATATCATATGACTGAAATTATACCGTGTGTAGTCTTTTAAGTTTGGCTTCTTTTACTTAGTAATCTTCATTTAATGTTTTCCATATCTTTATCATAGCTCACTTCTTTTGAGTGCTAAGTAATATTCCATGGTCTGGATGTACCCTAGTTTATCCATTCACCTATTTCTTCCTTCCCAAACTGTATACATTTTATTATTTTCTTACTGAAGAATATCTTGTTTGCTTCCAAGTTTTGGCAATTATGAATAAAGCTGCTATAATTTATTTATGTGCAGATTTTTGTGTTAGCATGAATTTTCAAATCATTTAGGTAAATACCAAGAAGTATGATTGCTGGGTCATTGTAAGAAACTGCCAAACTGTCTTCGAAAATAGCTATTCCATTTTGCATTCCCTCCAACAATGATCATCTCATTAGATGCAGAAAAAGCACTCAATAAAATCCATAACCCTTTCATGATAGAAACATTCAACAAACTAGGCATAGAAGAATACACCTCAAATTTATCAGGCTCTGGCAGACCACCTTAATCACACAAAGTTAACACAGTAACAGAACAAATCAGCATAATGTGCTACTTGACAGGATGAAGTGAGAAGATCCACAGCTGCACTTCTGCCTTATTTCTCAAAGATAAGTGAGACAAATCCAAATTGAGGGATAGTCTACCAAATGACTCACCTGTGATCTTTGACAAGGTCATGAAGGTCAAAAAGACTGAGGAACAATTCAAGATTGAAGACTAAAGAGATATGACAACTAAACGCAGGCAGTCATTCTGGACTGGATTATTTTGCTGTAATCAACATCATTGGACAAATTAATAGAGCTTAAATGGGGGTCTGTGAATGAAGTGGTAGCATCTGTGTCAATGCTGATTTCCTGATCTTAATGGTTATAATGAGGCCATGAAAGAGAACGTCCTACTCTGCAGGCATTACATACTTAAAAGTATTCAGGGATGATGGGGCATAATGTTGGCAAATGGTTCAGGAAAAATCTTCTGTAAATTTGGTAAACTTTTCCTTAAGTTTGAGATTGTTTCAAAATAAAAATTACCTTTAGTGCAAAAAATATGACTGAGAATTTTCTCTGCCAGCTAGAGCTGGATGAAGTGATCTTTTGCCCAATTCCTTCCTCTTCCTTCTTCTAAAAAACACCTGTGGTCAAATGAGGATAACATGGTTGAAAATGGAGTCCTCTAAATCAAGGGTTGGCAAACTTTTTCTGTAAAGGGCAAGACAGTAAATATTTTAGACTTTGAGAGCCATACAGTCTCTATTGCAATTACTCCATCCTGCCATAGTACAAAATCAGCCAGACAACACATAAACTAATGAGTTTATTGGAACTATATTCCAATAAAACTATGGACACTGAAATTTAAATTTCATATGATTTTCATGCATCATGAAATATTCTTTTCTCAACCATTTAAAAATATCAAACCTGTAGTTTGTAGGTCATACAAAATTAGGTGGAGTTGGCCTATGGGACTTAGTTTGACAATTCCTGCTTTATATTTTCAAATGGTCATTACATGCCACATCGTTTAACAGATGATTAGCAAATAATCTGTGACCATGAGCTTTATAACTTTAAGAAATAAAGACTTTTCTATGGCTATCCAAGACACAGGTGAACGAATGTTAGAGTGTGAACAGACCCAGCCTAAGGAGATTCACAACACATCATCTCCCAAACACATTTCTTCTGTCAGATGGTGCCTAAACCCAATCCATTCATGAGCCACCCCATCTTAACCCACAAATAAACCCTAATGCTTAGGAGGGTTTGGGATCAGGTGAAGCTCACTTGGTATTAAAAAATAAGTCATTTATTTCGAAAGGTCTTTTCATAAAGATGTTCTTCTTATTTTGGTATAGTAAAGGGACCTGATTAATGAAGTGTTTCTACAGTTTTTATCTAGCATGAGTGCACAGTCCAGGTTTTAATGGGAGGAGCTAGAAATATTACAAAATTATAATATTTCAGAAGTAGAGAGACTACTAGAATAAATTAGAAGGGAGATGAACAGTGGGATTTAAAGCAATAGTTAACTGCAAAGGAGAAAGAAAAGACCAAAAAAGTTCATTAATTTTATAACATTAGCTAAGGTTTGGAGTCGAAGAAATTGTGGTTTTGCTAATAAAAAAAAAAAGGGAATATGTTAGGGGTGGCTAATTTGTAAAGAAAAGTTCAAAGACATTTGATTTCTAACAATCGTATATCCACCTAAATTTAAAGGTTCAGAATTATCTTCCAAATACTCATTAGAACATTTACTTGAATAAATATTTTACCTTTTCCAATACTTCAGTGATACACTGGAAAGACAATTAACACATAATTAGAAGACACATATTAGTTATTAAATCTATAAGCAGAAAGACCACTGTGATTTTATGAACACCTAATGAGAGTTTTTCATAAAGTTGTTGAAGGTTTTATAAGATCGCAATTTTTCAAAAATAAACTCACTCTAACAGTTATGCTGCTGAGGAAAAGCACTGTCCTAACACATTGTCACCCTCTCATGGGACATAAACCATCATCTTTTGGACACTGGAAAAACCTATTACTCAGATTGAAAAAAAAGGGCAATTTTGGGCTGGAGGACATCTGTATGGTTTCTCCACCTCAGAGCTCAGCAGTAAAATAAATAAGTCAAATAAGCATGGAAATAAAGAAGGTCACAGGGGAAAGCACCATGCAACACAAGCTAGGAGACTCTGGAACAAGAGAAACAGTACTGACCAGAACCACACATTGCCAAACACTGATTGCAAAGGATTTATTAAGGTCCAATTAGTATGCTTTTAATTTCAAATAATCCATATCTCCTCCAAAAAAAATATGCACATGAGCAAAAGTCCAAGTTCATTTCTTTGACTTCCAATATAAAACGTTCTGTATTTTGTATAAAGTATGTGCAAACACATTGCTGCTACCTGGTCCCCCACATTCCTTTCACTGTGGGGACTTTGTAAGTCTGCCTTCCGCTCAAACACTGAGCCTGCACTGACTTCCTCCTTCCTGGACAGCCATTCATCTTCTGGACTTCCTTCTCTTAGACGTTCTCCTGACCTCCCCCAACCTGCTTCATGACCGCGTCACTTCACTCGTTACTTCTTACAACAAACGGATGCAATTACTACTTTACCTGGGCAATGTACTAAACAGGTATCACCTAACCTGGAGGCAGTCTATCAGGGTGATTCCTGGACAATACACAGTAGCCAGGCACGTACTGACACACTCAACCCATTTGCTATACAAGAGCTATTTAAAATGACAATCATTTATTCACTCGGCATGTTTGATTTCTTTGCATTTTCTTCAATTCTGCATTACAGGTGTGGCTACCAATAGCTGGATAACTGGGCCCTCTAACAAAATTTGGAATTGCTAGATATATTAGGGTGCCTTGGTTATTTTGACAGTTGACTGTTTCTAGACCATCTTGTTACATTAAAAAGGCACTCCTGACTGAAGTAACCACTGCATTTCTTTTATAAAAGGCAATTTAACTGGTTTTCCTCACAACTGCCACCCATGCAGTGCAAAAGCAGGAAATCCCTTTTTATGAAGGTAAAAGTGTAATCAGACATTTCACATTTAAAAAAAAAAATCCTTCATGGGAATACATCCTAGGTAAATAATCAATTATACAATGTTGTATGTACACAAAATTTTTGCAACTTTATAATAGTAAAAATTTAAAATAACCTAAAATAGTCAACAATATGGGAATGGTTAAATAAACTGAGTTGCATCCATTAAATGGAATATAATATAGCCATTAAAATTATGTTTTTGTAAAATTTTTAATGCCATAGGAAAATGTGGCAATTTGGCAATGAAAAAAATCTAGTTATAAAACCGTTTACAGTATAATCCCAATTATGTTAAAAAGTATATAATATACATATAGACATATATGGGGGAGATGTTAAAAGGTGGTTACTTCTGAGTTATGATTACCAGTAATCTTTTTTGCTTTTTTATACATTTCTGCATTTTTCAAGTTTTCTATAATGAGTGTATATTATTTCATAATTCAGAAAAACAGGCTACAAAAAAATTTCCTCTGATGTACTGGTGATTAGAATGTACCTGGGTATTTTAAATACCGGGGGAACAATATTACAACACTTCATCTTCTATGACTTTTTTGGAATACATATTCTTTTGGTAATAAACTTACATTCCCTGTCTTACACCTGTTAGAACACTTTACTAAAAAGTTAATATTGTGATTAGAACAATTGTTTGCTTCATAACCTAAATGAATACTGGCTTTGAAATCTAGGTTCTTCTATTTCCTAGAAGATTTAAAATTAGTATCCTTTTTATCTTTTTAAGTAAGGCATACTGCATACATACATTACATGCATGCTTTCTAAACAAAATAATTCTAATTTACAGTTTTCCTACATAAGGAAAAATATGGAATTATGGTAGTTTATAAACAGTCTATAGTCTTTATCCATCACAAACATGCTGATAGGCATAAACATGTTTATTAAGTGAAATGTATCCTTTAAAGGTAAAAAAAAAAAGGGGGGGGGAAGCCTGTATGTAAATGAAGTTGTGGATTCAACTAGTCAGATTTTATTCTGACTTGCACCAAACCACACAAAATCTTTTTTAGTTAGTGTAATCTAAATGGACACTCCGGAGTCTATTCTTGAAATCCATTGCAAGAACTCCACTTTCTACTTTCAGAAGGAGTGGGGATCAAGATGAGGGTTGTCACATAAGGTAATTTTCAATACATATCAAGTCTCATGGGGTCTAGGAACAAATACTGTCATCGGTTAGTTAGTGTTTAAGTACATGAGTTTATTTTTCTCCTCGCACGCCCCACCTTGCCCTGGCAATTGGGTAGGGGGAGGCTGGTTCATCCTTCCACGGAGGATGGCGGGCTCCTCGTCTTCGTTTCCTTTCTAAACCACAGAGTGGTCATTGCTGTGAACTCCAGCCAAGATGGTGTGGTTGAGGGAGGAAGCTGAGCGGTCTGAGCCTTCCGTGGGGCCGCTGGGGTTCTCGCTGCGCTGGCAGCACAGGATCTGTCTGAAGGTGGCGCTCATCTCTTTGTCACGGTAGGAGTAGATGATGGGGTTCATGGCAGAGTTGAATTCCGCAAGGAGTAGGAAAAATTTCTCATAGGCCAGAACATCACACTGTGGGCAGCACACGTCTAGCAGTAACAAAACCAATCCAGGAGTCCAGCAGATGATAAAGGCACCTGCAAGGGCAGGGATAAGGGAGGATTTTTAAAAAAAAGAGAATGAAAAAATATCATTATGAAACATGCAGCCAGAAGTGAAAGGATTTCAGTTCAATATAAAAACACTGAGATTGGAAGCCACCCATCATTGCAAGTAAAATGTTCGTTTTCTAAAACAATCAGGGAAAAAGTGTGACAATAATCAACACAGTGAAATGTCATTATTTCAGGTCCTACTAAAATTGAGTATTTATGAGGCATTGACGATTATTTTGAACAAAACACAAAGGATGTGATAAGCAATTGGGACATGAAAAACTGATTCAAGGTATACACGTCACTTCTTATAAAGACATGGGTTTTAATAACAAAGAGTTGTTTTTAGGCAAAAGATAAGCACTAATGATAAATGTCTTTTAATGCTTAGTTAAGGCACAGTTTCTGGATTCAGGTTGCCTGGGCTCAAATCCTTGTTTTGTCATTTAATAAAATGGGTGAACTTAGGCAAATTACTCAGATTCAGTTTTCTCATCTGAAAAATGAGATTATATTATTTACCTCATGGAATTTGTTGTAAGGATTAAATGAGTGCTAAGAAAATAATCATGCAGTATGTATTAACAATAATAATAGTAGTTATTCTCCTGCTCAATAGTAGGGCCTGTTTGGAAATAGCAATTTCCAATGATAGGATGTATGTTTTATTTTTATTAAATAATCACCTATACAGTGCTTTTCTATATGCTTTACCAATAATAACTCATTTATCCTTCCTAATAGCCATATGGCATAGAAACTAATATCCCCATTGCATAGATGAAGAAACTGAGACCCAAAAGGTTTAAATAACTTGCTCAAGACCATGGTACTGAAAAGTGGCAGGTAGGAGACAAATCCCAGAGTGTTTGTTCTCAGAGGCTGGCTCCAGAGTCCAGGCTCTAGCAAATATTAATATTACATTACACCTCCGCTTTCTGAAACTACTAAATATTTTAAATCAAACTTTATGCTTCAGATGTATTACTAGTTTAGATCGGCTTTGTTCTCTTTCTTCTCTCAACTATTCAGAATCGTTAGCATTTTATATGTAACTGTAAGAGGAATAGAAATATAGATTATCAATTCCATTTTATTTAGTTCCTGAAATCTCTCATTTAGATGCCAGGAAAAAAGGAGGTTATGAAATGGCATCAAAAGCTACCCCAGGATCTGCTGGGGACCTCCTACTGAAAGAACAGGCACCAACAGGAGTCGTGGGCACCGTCATGCCCCCTTGTGTCACAACTAACAGGCCCTATACATATAACGAAGCTATGTAACAAGCAGAGCAGGAACAGAGAAGTGACCCCAGAAATACCTTTGAATCTTTAGGTGTAAATGGCACTGGCCTTGGTGGATGCAGGCAAACCCATGACTAGGGTCATGGGTTTGGACCAGCTTCAATGAATGAGAGTCACAAAATGTAAACAAATGAGATTTAGTCTCCAAACAGCCCACTTTTGGATGTGAGCTTTCTTTTTTGAAACTTTTCAGCAGGGAAATGAAAATAAAGGAGAAAAGTACCCCCATAAAGCTCTTTGTTCTACAACTCAAATGTGTATTGGTTTTAAACTGCTGTTCTCTTTGAAGACCGTCCAAGGTACTTCATTTTCTAATAAATACAATACCTTAGATTTTCTTTAGAGAGAGAAAAAAAATATTTCAAATATCAGGAGATAATAGCCAAAGAGCTATTTGAACTTCAATAAAAATGTTAATAAAGTATTCATTCCAAGTCCTTGAATTTCCTTGCTTGAAAATCGCTCAGAAAGCTAAACATAAAGGAAAATCAAAGGAATGCCTCTTGAGTTTCAGAAATAATGTATTATTCATTGAGAAGCCAGGAAGGGAATTATTCTCAGGATGGAAAATGCTTGGATGGAAAATGCATGGTCCCATTATTCTATTTTATGGAAACTAAAAACACACAGACCCTTCATGAATGGGAGAGCATTCTTTCAAGTTTCCTTCCCCCTTTCTTTTATCAAAGCTCTAATTGAGCTCAAATTCAGAGCTTGATTAGATACCAGCAACATGCATCTCAATAGATAGATTTTAAATGATCTTTTTCTCCTTCCAGGCAGCAAAAGGAAATATCTTTATTCTCACATATTCATACTTGCTCAAGCTGCTTGACTTAGTTCAAAAGTGAGAGAATTCAAATACAGTTATTTGTTGTTCATAATTTCTTCCAATGTTAGAATTTAAAAAGAGTCCATGAACCTTACTTTTGACCAAAATATGCAAGGAGTCCTGCTAGGTTGGAGACAGGAAATGGCAAATGCCACAGCAGCTATATATGTGGACACTTCATTGAGGAACCCAGAGTCCTCTCCCTTCTTCTTCAGTGAAAGGGGCTGTTTTTTGTACTATGGTTAGACCCAACCACACAGACCCAACACTCTGTGGTTGGATCTTCAAGACTCAATCCAGTGATTTCAGTGACTCATAGTACAGGCCTCAGAAATCAACATCTAAAACCAAATCACATGAAATTTTCCCCTCTTCTTCTTCTCCTTCTCTTTCACAGAGGTGTCAAGGATCAAACTGGCCATAAGATGAGGATGGACCACAGAGACAGGAGAATGACTCCTGGAAAATCCCAAGGTTATTAGCCTCCGAACCCATAGTGAATGAATATTCTGAAATCAAGTTTGCTCATCTTAATGATTTCCTCCTGCGCTTCTAAAGACAAAGATGAACCACACCAAAGCCTTTTAAAGTACAATTCAATCATAACTATAATTCAATTAAGTAATAAGACTTGAGATGTGTATTGTGGATTTTATCAACATGTAATCTGTAGAGAGTTGAGTGTACACCATACAACAGGTTGATAAGAGTTAAAAGAAAAAGAAAACCTTCCATCTCGGCATCTATGAAATGGAGAAAGGTTCCCTGCCTACTCCACAGGGCACAATGGGGATCAAATTAAGATACAACTTATAAAAGCCCTCTATAAACTGCATGTCTACCTGACTACCACAGACACATGAAGGCTGGTATAGCTCTAGGACAGGTTCTTCCAGGACAGAACGTGAAAGCATGTTTTGGATGGTGAAGACCTGGAATTTCAAAAAGCTCTGACATGAAACCATCCTGATTATAAGCAATGCCTAGGACTTGCAGTTGGGTATGAGGAGGATAAGATAACAAGGAGGACAAGGGAGAGGGAACACAGGGAAGCACAGAAGCCCCAAATCATTTTGGAGGTTCTCATGAGTCAACTCAACACCTAATGAGATGGGGAATATAACATGACACTCAGCAGGGACAGTGCTTTAGGTAGTTTGTATATTTCTAGCACATTTCTGATGGAGGAATCCCCAATGACCAAGACCACCAAGGAATAGTAGACAACCGTGTGAAAGTAAGAGGAAGTACAAGTTGTTTAGAGTTATTGATTATAAACCCAGAAACAGAAATGGCAGAAGATAATATGCCCAAGGTCACAAAAGTTTTGTATACCTACCTGGCTAAGACATTTGAAATTTGTCCAGTCTAGTATTAGTTCTCAACCCTAGCTACACATTACAATTGCTTGCAAAGCTTATAAGAACTAATGATCTTTCATGCTTGAGGCTCTGACTCAAGGGGGGAGAGGGGGCATGGGCAATATACATAACCTTAACACTTGTACCCTCATAATACACTAAAATAAAAAAAAAAATAGAAATAGAAATAATGATCTTTCAGCCAGTTTCAGTCTTCTAAAAAAAAAAATGCAAAGAACAAAAAAAGAAATAATGATCTTCACCTACCTCTCCCGCTATGAAATATTAATTTCAATGGCCTCACTGGTAAGATTTTCATTTAAGACACAACACTGGTGACAGATTTGAAGAAGAAAATAATCAAGGTAAAGGCAAAATATCATATATTTCCAAATTCTAGAAGAGAAACGATGAAAGCCAGAATCAGGGCCAGCAGCACTGAGGAAAGATGCAGAAGGATTGGAAAATATTTAGGAGACAGACTCTGTGAGATGCATAAGAAAGACTAACGAGTCTAGTGACTCCTTAGATTTTCAATCTGGTTGAAGGAAGGACGGTGGTATCTTTTGCTGAGGGAGGAAACAGAAGAAAGCATTGACTGATATTTTTGTTATGGAAAAGAGAAGAGAGTGGATGATCTCAGTTCTGTATGTGTTTAGTTTGAGCTACCTACAAGACATCAGACAGAGATGGATGCCCTAAAGGTAATCATGATAGGCTCATGGCAATTTAAATCCAGGGAAATTATCTCTCAGTGTGTTCAACAAAAGTGGTTACATTCTGCCTGATTTGCCAATATTACAAGTAACATGGGGAGGAGGATATTCAAAACGTATCCATGGGTTGCTCTTCCTTGAACAAGCTTCATTTCTCCCTTCTGCAACTGTCAAAGCAATCTATGAGGGCTATAATGGCCACAAAAATGGAGGGAGAGGTGCTGGAATGCAGATGTAAAAGGTGCGGAGGAATGGGGCTGTATTGGAACAACAGGTCACAGCTGCAGACGGAGATCATATTACCACACCTTCTTTCAAATCTACACAACCCCATCAGCTGAATAATGCTTACCATCTGGTCTCACAATTAGAGCCTTTCTTCTGGAGTGACTTTTTCCTAACTGGTTGAACTTTACTTACATATGGAATGCAAGAACTAAAGTTAAAGAGGAAAAAAGTCCTTGCCAGAGAAGATCTCTAGGGAGGGAGCCCAAGATTTTTGATGAAAGAAACAGAGTTTCCAGTCTGGCTGGCAAAACTGTGTTTTTACAAAAGAATCAGACATCCCACAGATCTGAGAGAAGTCAAGGTAAATCAATTCTACACCAGTACTGTGCCCAAGTTGGCCTCACACTTCTTGTCTCTCAAATGAGGATCTCAGAAACAGTCCTCCCTATCTCAGAGGCTTGTGGTGTGGATCAAGTGAGAAAACAAGTGCTGGAGTACATAAACCACTTTTTCTGTTGCACTAAATTGTGTGTTCCCTCAG